TTGTGAACTGCGGGAAATCTATCATGAAAGATGTTGATGCCAATGTTGTTGTAGAAGAACGAGAGTGAGTGTTCAGCGAAGGAGAGAAAGGAGAGGGGGAGGGGAGGGGGAAAGGGGAGGAGGAGGAGGAGGAGGAGGGAGGAGGAGAGAGAGAGAGGAGAGAGGGGAGGAGAGGGGAGAAGAGGGAATAGGACGGAAGGGAAAGAGGAGGACAATGCATTGACAAGGTACAGCAGTAAAGGATGTAATATGTTATAACGAAGGGAATAGAGGAAGAGGAGCAGGAGCAGGAGCAGGAGCAGGAGCAGGAGCAGGAGCAGGAGGAAACGAATTCCTGATAGCAGCAAAACAGTAGGGTAGAACTTGAACGCATGTGGTTCAAGTCTTGTAGATTACAAGCTGTGAAGGTGCCCTTGTCGTTCGAAGACAACAACTCCCTCAGGCTCCTGCATCACGCACAACAAAGTATGTGAGAGAAAACACAAGAAGAAATTTCTTGCTAGCAACTAGTAAGAGTTTGATGAAGATTCTCACCTTGGTGATGATGACTAACAAATTTGCTGTTGAGAACAAAACAGCATCATTAGTATCATCACTACCACCAATATCATTGCCATCATCATCATTATCATCATCCTCATCATCGTCATCATCATCATCATCATCATCATCATCATCATAATCATAATCACAATGGCACTAACCTTGATAGTCGTCCATCGCATTCATATTCAGCACGTTCAACACAAACTTGCAGTCATGCTGAGCGTGGCAGACATCGCACCTGGTCCAACATGTCAGAAAACAAGAACAAGTACATGCATGCTGCTCAACATGTTTTGTTGATACTCCACATCCTGTCAGTGAACAAATCAGTTGCAGTTGTACAAGTACGGATGCGTTCACATTCAGCATCAGCCGAAGGTGATAAAAGTTGCAGCTCAGGAAAAAATCGGCTGGTAGATCGAAAAAGTCCTGCCAGGCGAGTGAGGGAATGAAATGAGTGCGAGTTGAGTAAGGATGAAAGTGGAGGAATAGGAAAGAAGAGGGAAAGGACGGAGGAGGCAGAAGACGGAGGAGGTAGAGGACGGAGGTGGTAGAGGAGGAAGGAGGTAGAGAAGGGAGGAGGTAGAGGACCGAGGAGGTAGAGAAGGGAGGAGGGAGAGGAGGAGGAAGGGACGTCTAGGCTGGGAGCAGGAAGAGGAGAGGATGCAAGATATCAGAGAAGGCTGGGTGATGATTTACCAGGTCCACAGAAACTCTCTCGGGCTGGGTGGCTGCGCAAGGAAGTGAGGGAGGCAGGAAGCATAAGACGAAGAAGGAATGCAAAAGAAAGTTGAGTAGGAGGAGAACGAGGAAGATGAGAAGCAGGTAGGAGGAGGAGGACCAGGAAGTCGAGGAGAGGGAGGAGGAGGAGGAGGAGAAGGAGGAGGAGGAGGAGGAGGAGGAGATCCTGTGGGAAAGGAAAAGGAAGACAGACGAGAGAGGACGGACGCGGTAGGGGAGGAAATTGACAAGGGCAAAGACAGTAAGGAGCAAGGAGGAAGGGGAGGCAGAAGAGAGGAGGAAGTAGAGAAAGGAAGGAGGAGGAAGGGAGAGGAGGAAGGAGAGAGTGGAAGGGAGGAGAGGTAGGAGGTAGATCAAGAGTCGAGCAACAAGGTTCTACTTGAAGGATTCTTGGAGATCGAGACATTGAAGTTGACCAACGAGAACGGAACCCTCAAGACCTCACACCTTCATGATACATATCGTGAAATCTTTCTCCTCCTGCTCTCCCTACCCATCCCCCTCCGCCTTCCTCTGCGCCTTTACCTCCCCATCCACCTTCACCTCCGCCTCCTCATCTGCCTGCTGCTCGTCCTCCTCCTCCTCATCCTCGTCCTCCTCCTCCTCCTCCTCACTCTTCCTCCTTTCACCTCCTCTCTTACCGGCACATCGGCAGCTCTATCACAATACAGTCGTCACACAACTTGTAAAGCTTGTCAAACTCTGGCGATCAGCTGGGCTCTAGCTGGACTACCTCTTCGGCGGGTGTGCACATGTGACCAGAGAACCCCCAGTACCTGCTGAGCTGTAAGAGAGGTGGGCGAGTGCTGGGCAGCAGCAGGGGAAGCAGCGGGCAGGGTAACAGTCGGAGGGCAGTTGGAGGGCAGCTCACCCGCAGAAACACTGGTCGATGCCTGCTGGGAGGTGAGATAAAGATAAGGAGAAGGAGGGGGGGAGGGGACAGGGAGGAGGGAGGAGGGAGGAGGGAGGAGGGAGGAGGGAGGGAGGGAGGGAGGGAGGGAGGGAGGAGGGAGGAGGGACGAACCGCACGAGTACGAGGAGGTTTCAGGTCGACTGGCAAGGGATGGAGGAAGCTCGTAATACCTGGAGAGAGTGCAGAATATGAGGACCACAAGACGAAGATCAGAGAAGGAGGAAATAAAGACTGAGATAGAGAAAGAACACAAGTTGGTGGAGGAGAGGAGGAGAGGAGGAGAGGAGAAGAGGAGCAGCAGAAAACAAGTAAATGAGGAGTGGAAAGCAAAGAGGGTGATGGAGATGTCAGTAGCTTCGATACATCTTGGAGTGGATGGCATAGAAGTCCGTCCTCCCCGTCAAGTTCATCGCGCGTGCCGTCAAACCTGAAGGTCAACAAGCAATGATGATGGAGAAGTGGAGGAGACAAGAGGAGAAAAGAGCAGAGGAGGAGAGAAGGTGAGGATTTGGAGGAGAGGAGAAAGAGGAGCAGAGGAGCAGAGGAGCAGAGGAGCAGAGGAGGAGAGGAGAGTAGTAGAGAAGGAGCCGGATGGGATAGCAACGCACTGGGGCAGAGAAAAGCGTGTGAAAACAGCAATGGACAACAACAGTGGTTTGTAGTGAGAAGACAGGAGGGGATGGTATTTATCGCAGGTGTGAGTAGCAGTAGCAAGAGGTGCTGGTAAGCACAGAAAGAGACGCGAAGGAGGAGGAGGAGGAGGAGGAGCAGCAGAAGCAGCAGCAGCAGCAGCAGCAGCAGCAGCAGCAGCAGCAGCAGCAGCAGCAGCAGCAGCAGCAGCAGCAGCAGCAGCAGCAGCAGCAGCAGCAGCAGCAGCAGCAGCAGCAGCAGCAGCAGCAGCAGCAGCAGCAGCAGCAGCAGCAGCAGCAGCAGCAGCAGCAATGAAGGGGTGGTAGGGAGAAGGCGGGAGAGACCAAAAGAGCTCGGGGCTGATATGATGACGAAGTTGGACAAGGCAAAGACGAAATGGTCGAGCATCACCTGATATGATCTCAAGAAAACGAAGAGACTGAAGAGGAGGGCAGAAGAAAGAGGACAAGAAGGAGGGGCAAGACGAGGAGGACGAGGAGGACGAGGAGGACGAGGAGGACGAGGAGGACGAGGAGGACGAGGGTGGGGACGACGGGGATTGGGACGGGAACCGGGACAAGAGTCATGAAGCCGAAGGAGGAAGGTGGGTTGGAACTTGAATGAGGGG